CAGGTGAGAAAATTGGCTCCAATTCATAGGTTGAGAGTTTCCTCGCTTGTTGGAAGCTATGCTGAGCCCATGTTATTACATGTCCCCTCTCTTTTGCCTCCGGAAGTGTGCTCGCACGGCTGAATTGAAGCCGGACACTTTGTATGGGAGTTGTTACCTTAAGTGTCCGGTTTCAAAATGGCCGCGTGAGTACACATACGCTCGCCCACACGTCCGTTACAGATGAAGCGCCTTGTCTTTCGTCAAAAGGCTTCACAGTCCAGATGGCCGCGGTACGAAATGCCAACAATTATAATTCTTGGTTATTCCCCCGCTTTGTTTGCTATAGAAGCTTTCGTTAGGACTGGTGGGGGGTACCGTAGTTCCTGTTTGTTTCGGGTGCATAAACTGCCTGAGTGCTTTTTCACACTTCTCCCGTTCACCGTCCTGCTATTGAGTCACGTCTTCTCCCAAATTGTTTATCAGATCTAGCATTCTTTTTCTCTTGCTCTCTACCACTATCTTTGCCCTTTAGACCTTTTTTGTATGAACCCCCATCCCCAAAACTGAACCATGATCGTCACCGGGAGCCTCTAGCTCAGCCTCTATTTGAACCTGTTGTTTGTGCCGTAATTTCTAAACTATCTAAGAATTTTAGAATAAATTACTTTAGGTCCTCTGAGACGCGAGCGGGGGGTTTTTTTTTCTATTTTTGCAAAGCAAGCAACTACGGATTTGGGATTTCCCAATCCTGCTTAACCCCCTTTGGAGGATTTTTGTGCCCATTTTCTTTCTTTTTTCTTTCCCCCTTTTGGATACCTCTCCTTGCGATTGCTGTCATTATTTGGGGGGAGAACAGATGGGTTGAAAGCATGTTGGGGACTATTGCCGATTGTATGGGAAGGCAAGCGTGAGTATTTGGGTTGGTCTAGCAGATGCTTTAAGGATGGTCTGTATCTGTGTTAAACGAGATATCGATTGGCGACAGAGAAGTTTTTTTTTGGATGGTATGCCGGAAAGTTAGATAGCGCGTACAGGCTATGCACTCAGCGGAATCCCATTTGAGCCCCTACCATGATATCATCAAGAGATCTCACCAAATAAAGCTAGGTCCTAGAGGGTTTTTCCCTGGGGATTCTCACGCTCATGCCCCTTCCAGGAATACTGATAGAAGGCACACTTTGTATGAGAGAGAGGTATAAGGGGAGGGAAGTAATACGACTTTATAGTAATGGAAACGCAGGCATTCGCTGTCAAGTGTAGGCACCTGGTATTGGAGTGTCTTACAACCGAAATCTCCCAGGGGAGGAGATCAGTTATCCCCAACTGTCCCCCGCTCCTTGGTGGTCCGGCGATCCCCGATTGCAACGCTGTTTGCCTATTTCTTATCCTATCTTTTCTTGCCCTCGTGCCCTCCTCTTCTTTTCTTAGGTAAAGCCATGGAAAGGAAAAACGGGATGCAATTTAACTTGACTTCATGGGAAAACCGTCTTTTCTCCTCCCTCCCCACCACAGCTGTTATCCTGATCATGGTACCCAATGAAACCAACGAGCACGTGATATATACCTTCCTTTTAGAATTCCTTCAGCGCATTCCCGGGCCCTACATGCCAGGCTGAGTTATCCCCCACGCAAGCGTTCACGCGGTTCCCCAGATAGCCACGATGTCCCAGGAGCGGCCCGCTGCTCGAGGAGATTCTATTTGACATCCGATGTGCTTCACCATTGCCCCTGCGGGTGGTGTTGAGCCCTGTTCTGACCATCCTAATCAGGAAGGTGAAAAGCGGGGTCCGGAAAGTAGACTAGCGGTAACGGAGCTTGGGCAACCAACCCGGAGAATTTACCGGCATGGTGCCCGCATCACACTCATAGTCAATCTTTAATTGTACGGTGCCTAGAGGTGGGGGCAAGGGTGCTGTGGCGAGCGGGTTTAGCAATAGCATTTCTGAGCAGTGGTGAGGGCTTTTGAGCGCAAGGAGAATGGTAGTAGGTTCAGTAGGATATAGGGCTTTTAAGGGGGGCAAGGGACTGTGTTTCGGTTGATTTGTGGGGAGGCACTAGGGAATAGGACTGCTGGGGCCCTATTGGGAGAGGACAACACACACAAGAGATAACTACAGTGTGGCCTAGTTTAGTTTTTCATCAGTCCTCTCAGAGAAGAGGGACGTTTTTTTTTTCCTTCGAGGCGGGATTTTTCTTCAGTTCTTCTCTTCTCCAGAGAGAGCCCTTTGTCTTTCTCTTGTCTTCGGCTTTTAGGTTTCCTTCCCTACCCCCAGAATTTATTTACCTCGTTGGAAAAGCAAGAGCAAGTTTGTCCACGCCCTGGCTAGCCTACCCTCGCCTCACAGAATCGTCTAAGGAGCGAGGACTCCGACAGTGCCGACTCGCTGCACCCTTCACTGACTCAAAGCAACATATCGTGGCAAGTGGGCTACCGTGGCAGGAGCAGCTGATGGTCCGCTCTACTTTATTCCATCACCAAAAAAAGCGCCGGGATCGGTTTTTCCCATGGTTAACTTACACCCACCACATTTTTGCCACCAAGAGCTAAGATCGCTTCGCTTTTGCTTACACCCCAAGTGCGATCGTCCATGGGTGCCGTATCGTACGAGTACCGGTACGGCACTGTACGAGTACTGTGCACTAGCACTATGATCTGCTTGTGCTCCCCTGGATTTTCGCTGCCCGTGGGGGGAGGGGGGAAGAAAAAAAATCGGTGGTCCCGGAGCTTTGAATCTGGTGTCCGGTGGGAGTTCCGATTGTTGTAGGAATCAGGACTCGAGGGTGTTGGAAGTCCAAAGCTGCTCCCCACACCTGCCCGGTACCCTCCTACTCTTTCCCCCCTCTCCCCATTCCCATTTCCTATCCCCCCAGTCCCCCCCCCTTCCTTCTCTTCTCGCATTGTTTGCTTGTTTGTTCCCTTTGTTTTTCGGGAGAGCGCTTCGAGAGCGCACGGCAGCGGAGCGCGAAAAAGCCCAGGAGAGAGCGCATGGCGGAGCGCTGGAAAGCGCACGGCTGAGTGCCACAGCGCGACAGAGAGCGCGCAGTGAAGGAGCGCAGCGGAGAACCGCAGAGAGGAGCGCAAGAAAAGCGCGGGAGAGCGCGCGGTGGAGGACCGCAGGAAGAGTGCAGGAAAGGCGCGGCGGAAGAGCACCGCGGAATAGCGCACGGCGGGAGCGCAAGTTATGTCTTTCCTTTGTTAGCTCTTTCTTGTTTGCTCGGCGGATATGGGGGCTTACCTGGAGGGGGCGGGGAGGCATCGGTTTGTCTTTTCCTTTGTTAGTTTGGTTGTTTGCTTGCGAGAGGGAAAGGAGGACTTACCTAGGGGGGGGGTGGACATTAGGACTTTGCCGGTTTGCTGTTTTGTTGCTCGGCGATGATATATGCCTGTCTTTTCCGTTCATGTTAGTTAGAAGAACATTGCGCGATAGTTAGGGGAGCGGGTGAGAGGGAAAGAGAAAGAGAAAAGTTTTTTGCTGTGAGTTTAGCGATCCTTCTCCGTGAATAAGCTTGGCGTTTCGTTTCACAGCCCATCACTCGGCTGGTTTCCGATTGGCCAGTTGCGACAGATCCCTGTTCGTTCGCCGTTGCCGGAGCCGTTGCGACCACCGTTCCTCCGCTCTTTTCAAAAGAGGGGCCTGTTTGAGTTTGTGCCTCGGGAGGTAAAGCACGGTAGTTTTCCCTCGATGAGTATGATGCCTGCGCTGACGAATTTTCATCATAGAGTGCATGCCAGAGTGGTGTTCGGTAAATTTTGCGCGGCCGACAAGGCACCAAAGATCGCAGTGAATCCTTTGTGGATTGGTGAAATAGCCGCTTTTCAAGTCCGCTTGATGACCGCCACTATTTACAGAGAGTGTTAGGCGGGCGCGCCCTCTCGCCAGGAGAACGATCCCTCACTCAGGTGAGCAGTAGACTACCGGTGCTGCCTAAATAGGTCCGCTCTCCGGGAGGGTGTGATGGGCTATGGAGTCATTTGGGCCGGTAATTGTTAAAATACGGGCATATGTCACCAATTAGCTTTATTTACTTTCCCAACACACTGTCCCTGGACAAAATGGGCAGATCGTTTACCGGTAGACTATTTCAAGCCGGTCTAGAATCTTTCTCTATATATGGGGGAGATTTCCTTTGGTCTAGAGTCTCTTGAGCGAGGCTTGAAATACAAACTTAGCGTGGCTAATATTGCTGCCTCTATGTCATATCGCTACTCCGACAGTGACTTGAAAGACCCATTTTGTCGGTAATTAGGTATCTTTTCATCTCGGAGCACCGGTACTCCTGCCCTGGACTAACTGAAAGGCTTCAGTACGAGCGGGCGGGAGAATTTTCCCGAATATCAGGCTCGAGTGCGCGTTGGATCGCCTACCGGACATGCGGTTAGGGGATATTCGGCTGTAGGGCTCGTGGGTTTTAGGTGCGCCATTTTCGGGCTTGCGGCTATGGTTTGCTGCTTCTGCGCTCGGGTCTGGGTAGGGTCTGGACACCCCTTGGTCCTGTGTCTTTTAGCACCTGTGTGCATTCTGAACTTGGCCTGGACGTTTCTTGCAGTATCATACGAAGAATTCGGCTGTTGAGCTGGCAAATTCACCATTGGCACGACCATTGGTCGGAACTATCCAGCGATATATGAAAGGCCGCCATCGGCCGCCATCGGTAGGCTGGGCAGAGCCTCATTCTGATTAAAAGGGTGACCACGTCACAGTGTGTAGCTGGCTGATATATGTCCAAGCAGTACTTGTCCACTCCCTTATTTCTCCATCCATCGTTCTCTTGAATTAGCGGCAACCGCATTTACTATGCACCAGCAGTTGTCTTTGGTGTTCTTCCTATATTAGGGGGGGAAGATTTATCAACCATCACCGGGGCTACGGACTGTTATTTTCTTCCCATTCATAACATATTCAGTCAGGCTATCCACTTCACAAAGGCGTTCTCGTCCCAGCGCTAGTCTATATCTCGTCCCTCAGGATTAACTTCCCTTCCATTTCACCCTGTACGGATCTAGAGCCTATAAAAAGATGGCCGAAGAAAATACTACCTCTGAAGACGGATCTCCTCTTATTGGAGACTCCAATCGCCAAAAGAACCATGGCCGTCTCTTCTGGATGGAGATGAGCTGGCGCTTTGCTCTCGGGCTCCTTTTTAACATCTTCATCGTACTTATCCTATACACATTCTCTCAAAAGGGCAACCTCAGTCACTGGGAGAAGCGCTGGTTCAATGTACTCACCATTTCATTCTCCTCGCTTGTCAGCTTGATGTTGGGTTCGTTGTTAGGCCTATTGGGGAGTATGCTCCGCTGGCAGTTGTTAGCGCGCAAGTTGCATAATCCGATGGATGTAAGGTCCTGGCACATATGTAGGAGAGACACAGCACGCTAACACTATATTGTAGGTTGATTTGATACTGGGGATAGCCAACCCCACTGGGGCGTTCAAACTGATCTACCACCATACGAAGGATTGGAAGTGGTCCGCCACGACCGTGGTGGTCGTGATATACCTATTCATTAATATCGTCGGCCGGCTAAGTGTGGCGACGTTTGGATTGACGTATGATTTGAATGAGCTTCCTGGACTCAAGTATCCGGTCAAGCTCACAGATTGGAGCACGCCCGTATGGTTCAACGTGTCTGCAGACGGGTATGACCTTTTATCACAGACCGCTAGTAAGTGCAAGCGTTTATTCGTACGGACGTTCGGACTAAATGATGTTCAACAGGACGGATGAGTGATTATGCGGCAGTTGGAATGTCATCAGTTCTCACTGAATTCGACTCGACGAACCCAGCAATCACCTTAACCAACTCAAGTGGACAGGGCCTAGATCGGAAGGTCGAGGGAGATAAAGTCATATATTCTTACTCCTTGAAAGAGTATCAGGGCCTTGATGTGCATCCAGCACGGGATAAGGTACTTCATAGTTCATCATCATGTGTTGGACGGACCATGTTGGGGTCAAACATTTTCGAGGACGGAAAACTGGTCGGTAACGTCGGTAAGTCGTCCCACCTGCCAAGGAAGGGGAGCCCGCCCCAGCGATTAACCAATGTGATTAGATAAAGTGGATGAGAGCAGTCCGGATTTTCTCAAGGTTTTGATGGGGCTGTTTACCTTCTATGATGAGGCTGAGATCGATTACATCTGGATCAATAAACTAAATTACAGCCAGTTATCTAGCCCAGCAGCATGTGCCACAACATGTAAGTATAGCCAAACCAACTACTCGTATCCAAGACTGACCAAATCACCTCAAGACCTCTACTCAGAAGTCTGGCAAAGCTACAAAGACAAGCACGACCGCAATGCTACTTTCTTCGAGTGCAGGACCTGCCTAACCGATACCAACAATAACCCGGGCATCGGCGATGACATCCTCTTCCGCCAACCCTCTGAAAACTCATCCCTCGTCGCTGGCCACCTCCTCCGCTTCGGCACCTTCGAGCGTGTCTTTGGGGGCTACGACTCGAAGGGCACCCAATTAGCTATCCGCTTGTACTCCAGTATGAACAAAAACTCGCACTTCTTGAACAATATGAGGAATGAGCTCCACACCGGCGCAACGGGAGATGCGCCTCACGTCGAGGTCCCAGTGGAAGCCGAACTCTACGCCGCACACCTCGCTGCCCGCCTCCCACTCCTCGCTATCATTGGCGCTGACAGCCAGCTCCCGAAAGTAACGCGGGAAAAAGGCGCGTCAGAGCAACCATTCATCTCCGTCGCGCTGGAGGTAAAATGGACCCGAACCATCGCGGTCCTTGTCTCCATCCTTATCGGCCAGCTCCTCGCCGTCGCTGTCGTGAAATTCATGTGCCGGAACGTCTTCCTACGTGACCACGATAGCTTTTTGTCGCTCGCCCGAATCTTGAAGACGAGCATGGAGAAGGTGGAGGGACTGAGTGCGGGTAATGGGAAGGATTTGGCGACGTTCTTGGATGGGGAGGGTGTGAGGATGAGGTATGGGACTAGGGCTAGGGAGGATTATCTGGAGGTTGATCTTTGGGATGATGTGCAGAATTGGTTTCCGGACTCCCTGTATGCGTAGTGGCGAGGATTTGAGGTGCGTGTGAGGGGTGGCTGGAAGGACTTCCTTGGCCTGAAGATCATCCGGGGACCGTAACGCTCAGGACATGTGCAGGGCGAGTGGGGCTATCTCATTGCATTCTTTATTAACAGGGCCGGCTAGGAAGTCATCAAACTACGGAAAGAGAGTGCTGTCTTTAAGGAATTATACAAAGTATAATCTGTTATCTTTTGCTGGTGTTCTTTTGCCCGTGGGGAAGGATTGATGGCAGGCTCCCGAGCAGAGATCGCAAATTAATGTTAAGCCATAATCTCGGGTACCAATCGCTCAGACGAAAACCCCCCATACACTAAATCCCGATCTATTCTCTCGTAGAATCCGTGAGTTCGACTCGATGCAATACCACGTCAACTGCTATACTTGTTCCTGCGAGACGCATTACTAGTATAAAAAGAGAGCAAACTGCTAGAATACCCCTGGAAAAAGGAGCCGGGGTGCACAATACCCCAGAAGCTTTCTCAATACCCCGGCGGTCATAACTCAGAACACAGTATTATACTTTGAACGTCTAACGCTATAAGTACATGTACGTACATAACACGATAACGAGCAACAGCCCAGTTCACGGGTGTGAGTTGGGGCTGCGTAGAGCTCTACGTCGGCCGCTTACTGACTCTCTAAATAATATCATTATAAGTCCTGTCGCAAACCGTCACAGTGCATCTGTACCTCTGCATTCAAGTACAGGTTCTGTATTTAAGTCTACAGCACAATCTACGTGTAATTATATATATTTTAATTGTTCTTCTGAACCTGTCCCTGAACTGCCCTTCACCCCCGCTACAACTGCTGCAGGCCGACCTCGCTGCCACCGCCAACCCGCCCCGCCTGCTGAGTACACTGCCGCCCGCTGCGCCGCACACCACCGTAATTTGACCTAGTTTCACAGAAGAGTGGGGCTAGACTATCCAGCTCTCGAGCGGTGCGGGAGAGTGAGAAGGGGGGAGGGGGGGAGGGGGAGGAGTGCAGCGTGTATATTAACAGAAAGAAAAAAGTTGCCGCAGAAGAACTCCTAGATACATAATGTCCCCCGCGGTGACACCTCGCTTACCTCATAGTAGGACCGAAAGACCGGTAACTGTAGTTACTCGATAGAGCAACATATAACTGGCCGTGAGTAAAGACTGGCATCGGTAAGTCCACGCCAACCATATTGAATGACTAGCCCTGCGACCTATTAATAGTCATCGCGAAGCAAAGACGGATATGAAGCTGCGTCCTAGTCCCGATATATGGTAGTTTCCCCTGTTATAGAGCTTAGCTTGATATGTGGAACCAGCAGTATCTGGCCGTCGAATTTCCTATGTTACCTAAGATACGGCCCTCAATGCAATGCCAAGCGATGCCTATGGTGACCATACGGGTGTCACTACCGAGGCCGATCCTTGGGAGAGAGGTTCCGCAAGAGGATTGTCGGGGCCCCGGGGTTCAAACAGAGCGGCGGCGGGGGAGGAAATCTGGATCAGCGTTAACCCATGATAACACGGAAGCAGGGATTACACATGGCCGTAAAATGGCGCCTTCTTTCGGAACTCGGTAACATTGGGTGGTATGTACGAGTACGGTACACGGCCGTTCATGGTAGCACTACAGAGGTTTTTTTTTAAAGTTTCCGGAATGTGAGTTACATCCATGTCCCAAGTTATGGCAGTTCCCGCAAAGTTTAGCACCGCGGATCTATAAGTTACACAGTAATTGAACCACTTATTAATTTCCCATTCTGGAGACTTAAAAAAAAAAAAAGTCGAGTACCATACCTGACAGCTGATGGACCCATAAAGCAGAAGCCTCATTTACCTCACCCTCCCAGACCCTGATCTGCTGTAACGCTGGGATACGGAGGGAGGGCCATAGGAATGACCGCTGTAGGCTGGCTTCTGTCTGAGCCCTGCTACCCCGCTGGATGGCTGGTAAGATCTGCGCAAAGTCACCGGCGAAGAGTCTATGGATACAGCCGAGGTGAGAGTTGTCGCCGAAGCGAATGTCGGATAACACGCGATGAGCCCCTTCGAAGCAGTACTTATGCTGCATTGGCGCTCAGTCCCCGACGCTGAGAGAGGCCATCCGTAAGAGCTGTGCGAGCTGGGAATTCTTCAAAAGATCACAGGTAGGAGTGCCATATATATTCTGCAAGTTAAGCTGTTTGACCATCCTCGAGTTGATCCATCACCTGAGCTGCGAAGACATTCCGGGTAAGTCTAAATTTAAATATGTTGGACGTTAGCCCACCAGTCCTTGAGGAATCGTGATAGGAAGAAGTCGGCAGTTCAGAGGTGGTGCACGAGTGCTGGAGTACTGTGGTGCTCATAATCCCGGTACTCTACCGCAAAACTGGTATGCTCAGCCTGGTCTGTGGATTTATCCCCGATTACTTATCTACCGTAGGAGTGTTCAGCTTTTTAATTGGGGCCTTAGTGTCTCGGTGGCTGATGTGATAATCATACTTCTCGTAGTAGATTCCCGCTTAGACGCTGGGGGTGTTATGTCCTACTCCAGGACTCTACTCGAGTATTACACGGTACACAACCGGTATCGCACCCACGCTGAGTCTTCAAACGAACGATCCGAACACCGTACTGCACCAGGGTGTGGAGGCAGGTAGGGAAGGGTAGCAACTCACAGGACACTTCAGTCGCTGAGCGCGGCATATCGTGGCAAGTGGGCAGCTGTTGCAGGAGCAATTGAGGCTTCGCTTGAACCTATTCCGTCATCAAAAATAGTGCGGGGATTGTGTTTTCCAATGGTTACACCTACCACATTTTTTTTAACCCACGAAAACTGAAATCGCCTCGCTCACGCTCATACTCTTTATTGCCATACAGGTATACCACAAGAAATACCTGAACATGGCGTGTCGGATCCCGTCAGAATTTGGTATAGGCGCTCAGACGGGCACAGACACGCACAGACGATCTGCCATACAAATATTTAATGCCTGTGTTCAGGTATTTCTTGCTGTATACTTGTAGTGCTCGAGTTCTGTAGGAGCACCGGTAGTATTATATGCGGTAGGGTTGTACAAGCATGAATCAAAGCACGAGGGGCTTATTTGGGTTGTGTCTTTTGAGAGGTAAAAAGCACGGTTGGTTTCCAGCCCCGAGTACCCGCGCTGACGAATCTTCATTCCACAGTGCATTCCAGAGTGGCGTTCGGCATACCGTTCAACCAACAAAGCGCCAAATATTGCAGTTAGACTCGTGCTGGGGGCTACGGTACAGTATGTCGAGAAGCCAGATATGCAGCTCGGACTGCAAAATACACAAAGTCTTACCAAGGCTTGGAGCATGTTGCATTCCGCAGATCTGCGGAAATTTGCTGGGGTTCGGAGCAGCGTATATTGAGGGCTACCGGTAATGTGCGTTTTTGTGCCCCCGGCAGAGTCCCCCAAACGACACTCCCGACACGAGCCCAACCCTTCGCGAATTGGCCAAATGGACTGCCGTAGCCGCTTTTCGAGTTCGCTTGATAATTATCACCACCACGGTTTGTGGGAGCGGTGGCATCCATCCGCTCTCGGGGAAGGTATGACGGACCACGGAGCTATTGTCAACCACAGTCGACAGCACTTTCCCGCGCACCGGTATACCATAAACACACCAATATATACGTCCCCCAGTCATCGAAATCGCTGGACGGGTGGTGGATGAGATTGGGTGGATTTCGGGAATGGTGGGAGTGGTGGTACCGTTTCATCAACAATCACTCGGCTTTTCGAACGACGCCGTTTCCCCACCGGCCCATGAAACACCATCAATGGCTACTATGGATAACAGCCTTATTGGAGCTATATAAATAATTTACAAAAATTGGGAAGCCTCATATATACACCCCACCTACCAGTGGCCTACGCTCCGGATATGAAAATACGGTTACATTGTGGGTGCAAAACTTCGATTGCACCCTCCCGCTTCGTCACCTACTGCTCCTTTTCCCGCATTTGCATCTCCCGCTGTTCGCTTCTCTTCCTCTCTCTATGCATCCGAACAATCGCTTCGCGCATCTCCCTGGCCTACTTCTCCGCTATTGCCTTCTCCTGCAGCCTCCTTTCCTTCTCTTTATTCTGGGTAACCATTTCGGCATGCCTCTGCCTAACCCCCGGCTCCTTCTAAAGCCTTACGACCTTCTTCGCCTCCTTCGCCTCGTCCGTCCACGCCTCTAGGAAGGCGCTTGTCTTATTCATGACAATAGCCCTCACCTCATGACTATGGGGATCCATGATAGCAATAAACTTCTACTTAAGCCTCTTGTTTCCATTCCCAATCTTTATATTCTGCCTTGCTCGAGATTTCGCCCCAAGTGCCCAGAGATCAGCCCACCCGCTCTTGCTTGCGACTCTAAGCCCCTGTTTTCCGAGGCTCTTAGGGACAATCCAGCGTTCAATGGATCCTGTCGGAGTGCACATGTTAAATATGACAGGCCCATCGCATTTGGTGGGTGGGAGGGCTAACTGCAATTGTGGAATTGTACCTTAGCCTTACAACCCCCATAATCTCCACCCCAAATCCTAACCCAACCCCCATCCCATGCTACAGGGTCAGCCCCATAGATATATGTCTATACCGATACCCACCCCATATCCCCCACTCCATAACCTCCACTCTAGGTCTCCATTACAGAACCTCCACATGTTGGGGTCTCTGGTGGTGTTGGGGTCCCCCTGATGTTGGGTTTCCCGGCCTCTTGCTCGAGACTGGTGTTGGAGTCCCCCGCGATGTTGAGTTTCCCGGCCATAGCCACTCCTCAAACGTACAGTTTGGGTATCGCCGCTTGCGCGAGACTGGTGTTCAGGTCTCCGGTGGTGTTGGGGTGCCCCGTGATGTTGGGTTTCCCGGCTTGCTATCATTGGAGTGATATCGGGACATTTTCCGTTTTCCAATGTTTGGACCCTTCTTGTCAGGGAGAAATTATTGAAAATGACAGGTTGGAGAGATTTCTGGGGGTTGAATAGAAGCGGGGCCGATTCCCCAGCTCTGAAGATACCTAAGGAACATCCAATCAAGTCATATGAGTCCGAAAACTCCCTTTGTCGGTTCAAAAGATGAAATTTGGTGAGAAATTGGAGGTGTCGGGGATTGTTTCCAGTTCGGGCCGATCTGAGGTAGAGGGGGGCTAGTGGACAGTGGCTAGACTCCTATTACTAGACAAGACCCTGATTAGACCAATTATCATTTTTGTTTGCTTCATTTAAGGTTTTATTTTTTGTGTACGAAGTTAACAAGCGTTTGGGACTAATTTAACAAAAAAAAGACATGCTATCTGCGCTCTTGGTCTCTGCCAAACACCCACTGTCAGTATGGCACAAAGTAGTATTATCATCTCCCTTGTAGGATGCTTCTTATCATACCTTATTAACCATCCTTGTATCTTTGACATTTAAGCAGTGCCCCGTAGGCGGCCCGAGTTGCATTTGCAGACTCGCCAACTAAATAGTCCGTATTTAGATTGGACTTTTGGAACGCTAGGATAAATGCTGAAAATTTCTGATAAAACTCATCGGTCCCAGTTTTTTGGTTATGGGCCCGGACCTCCGCGTGGATATCCAGGATCTTTAGTGTCTCCTGGTGCGCTGGGGAAGTTAGCCTTAATACTTCAGTTGAGATATCTGTATGAGAAAGCAGTGTTCCTAACCGTCCAGTCCGTCTGTCTTTAGGATAGGACGGGACGGACTATAGTCGGTAGTCCGTCTTTTCGGTAGTGCCAGGGCGGGCTACGCCCGGGACGGGTAGGACTGGACGGACCACAGGGGACTCGGTCCTACTGCCTAATATCTTACGGACAGAAACGATAGTCCCCCGCAGTCCCCCGCAGTCCTGTGCGGTCCCCGGTAGTCCCAGATAGTTCCCCGCCGTCCTTGATAATCCCCCGCCGTCCCCGGTGGCCCCCCACCGTCCCCCTCGCCAACCTTGTTTCACCCTGTAGGGCCCGCCGTCCCACCCAAACACGGCCGTTCTCTACTTTCACCGCCCGGGACGGACTGCACATGACCGTCCCGTCCAGTCCGGGGTTCTTGGCAGTCCCCGTGTGGGGCCCCGCCGGGCTCTCGGACGGTTGGGAACACTGTTCACGGATTTTTTGTTTCTTCCTTCTCCGTATCGTACCCATCGAAGGAAGGTACTGGAGTCGAGGTGGGAGTGGGACCGGTACGGCCCTGGGAACAGTACGGCTATGGACCCTCGCACTTGGTAGGCCGGGTAACGTCAGCTACCGTATTATCTCACACGAGAGCCCCCGCCTCCGATCAGTCTAGCGTATTTTAAAATTGGCACTAAGCTAGTTTGGTTATAGTCCAATATCAGAAACGCCCCGTGCGCAGTAAGAGCCTGAGTACAAATCTCCTCCCAATACAAAGGGACACTACTACTCTAAACCTTCTACCAGCATAAAGTAATACTATTATTGAAACCTACTTAGTTCCAATACAACAAATATCTCCATACCACCAAACTAAAATTCTTCTCTGTCCCAGCGAAAGTCAAACTCAATGCCATCATTATCGCCTTCATCCTCAGTTTCACTGAGACCAGGAAACCGTTCGACAAAAGTCTGAGTTTCTCCAGCTTGAAGCAACCTGTGACTTCTCCTAATATTAGTAGCTGTGGGCGTTTGCTGTAAGGTTATAGGGTAGTGAGTCTCAAGTTGGCTTGAGGAACCTGGAATATGCCGGGAACGCAACTGCCTTCCATCTGTTGGAATACTGGATATTGGGGTGGACAAAACTGCATGCCGACGGGAGCTGTGTTGGGAACTGGGACCATAGGCTTGCCTCCGAGTCCGACCACAGGTTTTCCCTCGAGTACTAGGACGTGCATGTGTCGGTGCTGTCTCACCATCTTGAACTGCACTACTCGAAAACCGAAAAGAGGTCGTTCCACTATCAGAAATTGCCGCTGGAACAGTATCTGCCAATGTGGTTGATACACATACTGCACTTTGTACTAGTGCTTGTCTGTTAGGACCAAGGCTTGCTAATATCTATGTCAGTACTAGTATTATATGTAGTTGCTGGAACCGGAGGTACCATGATAAAAAGAATAATTTAAGGAAGATAGAAAAAGAGACTTGTAAACGTTACCTGGTAGGATGTTGGTACTAGGAGGCCTTGCGGTTTGGAATCCGGGAGAGAGGTTTTTGTCAACAAGGTCAAAGTTCTCATCACTTGAAGAACTTTGACTTGAGCTCTCGTCAGATGTTGCTGACCGTCCGTGAGATTTCCATGCACTTATTGCATTCATTAATAGTGGAGTTTCAAGACCCTTAATAGAAATCTCGCCATCACTGGAGCCACTAATGGGCAGGGAGAGTCCTAACTGCCTAAAGCTCTTCACAACAACTCCCTGTCGTTCACGGGAAAACTGTGACCATGCATGTCCAACACAGTAAGTCATCATCACTCACATCTCTCCGACAGCACTCTCTCCTTGAACATCCTGTGGCTCAATTTCTCGGCGGTCAAGTTCATCCTCAATTGTCTTTAACAATTAGCATTTATACTTGAGCTAGGCTTAGGCTAGAAAAATATGGTTCTAAATTGTATAAATTGTATATCGTACCTGTTTCAGTATATCCTTAAATGGACGATTGATGGAAACATCCAATGGTTGCACAAGCCCTGTGCATCCAGCTGGAATCATTGATAGCGTGATATTTTCTGAAATGAGAAGTTCCTTTACTGGACCAGTCTTGTGTGCACGTAAAAGATCCATAACAAGAAGTGTAGGTCGTTTTCCAAGAACCGGGACAAGTTGATCAGTAAGCCAAGTAAGAATTATCGCGGTATTGGCATATGCCTTCTTGTTAAACTTTACTACTACCCGAGGGTCATACCTCATTTCCTCCCTTCGCCGTGGTGTACGATAGCTTTCCTCAGCACCTCGGAAAATTATCAATGGTTTGACACGAGGGGTACCATCCGCAAAGACAGTCAATTGTATAGTTGCCTGCCTCTTCCCCCATCCTGACTTCTTGCTCCGGACCCAAACAGTTTTTTTTCCTTTATGCTCATATGTTTTACCCTCTAAATATTCCCATGGTAGTGGTGTTTGATCCATGTTGAGAATATTAGACACGAGATAGCGCCCAACATGGAGAACACCACGTAGTATATCTGTTGTACCATCACGAAGCTGTGAGTTCCGGCGGTTGAAGCAAAGAAAGTTGATAATCACTGCTAAATACTCTTCCGGTGGTTCCTGAGCCTTATTCGTGATAATTCGGAGAGTAATATCATTACGAACAAGAAATCGATTAAACCAGCCCATAGAAAATAAAAATACTTATGGCGATAGTGGATATAGCTCAAGGAACAGAGCTTTTGCCACACGTTCAAACCATTTCCTCCGAACAACTCGACCGAGTTCTCGTCTTTCGGTAAACTTTACGATAAGGGCCGCTTCGAGTGCTGGCCACCGGGCACGAGATGAGCAATTCTTTTTTGCACTTTTCTTTTGCTGTCGTAATTGTCCCTCAACCTAATAGTTATTAACTTCATGTCAGAGTGTCTTCAGATGCCAGTAACCAAAGAAAGTGTATTACAGATAAAACTTACCTTCCGCCACGGTGACAGTTGAGATCGATTTTTTATCCCAAATTTCTTCACCACCTCAGCTGTTGTAGCAGTACGGAAACCACCTTTTCTATCATTGATCTCTGAATAGTACCACCATGAGAGGACACCAAGTTTAAACTCGCCAGTCATGCCACGCTTTGCACGCGATGGTGTCGCAATAGAGCGTGGATATTTGTGACGAAAGTCGGTAATTGGTCCTCGGTGGGGGCCCGGACGCCTGCGAACTGCTCGTGGTGTGGGGATCACATGACCCAGTTCCTCAATTTCCTCAGAGGGTTGTATGCCAGTGGTCACTGGCGTTGTGCGTACTACTTGATTCCATTGGTCGGAGGCGAAAGAAAAAGAGAAAAGTCTGGCAGAAACATCATCAATAGAAGATGTCTGTAGTACTGATATTGGTGCTGGTCTCGATCTGGCTACTGGAGTTGTGGAAAGAAGCATTACTGGTCGTTATGGTAGCTGTGGAGTATGGATTGAGGCTTTCGTAGGGGGTGTTGTAGTCGTTGGTGATCATGGAGATGCAATTCTTCCTCCGGAATGGCTACCACATGGCGTTGGTTTTTGCCAAGGATGCTTAGCCTATTTGGGAATATTTTTGCGCTAAACTAATTCTGGGAGGGGGCTCTCGTGTGAGATAATATGGTATATCAACCTTTTCTACCCGTTCATCCATCCATCAGTCCATTTTCCTCCATCCAACCCACCCCGCGCCCCACCCACGATCATGTGTCCCCCCACTCTAGAGTACCGGTACAGTACCCCACACCTTGGCCTAGCCAAAAGACTTCAACACGAGCCGGTGGGAGGACTTTCCAGAATATCATACTCGAGTATGATACGTGTTGGATCGCCTATGGCGCATGCGGTTAGGA